CCCCAAAACCCCAAAACCCCAAAACCCCAAAACCCCTAATAATTTAGAGAAAATAGACAGAGTTAAAATAAAATGATTATGAGAGATGAAGACCCCAAGGTGGTTCACCGGAAGGTCAAGAGAAGCGAACTAACAAATTGGATGAAAAAGAACAAATTCTTACTCAAAAGTTCCCAGATTAATTACGATCAGCTTAGGAAGACCAAAGACCGATTCGAATGGAACAAGGTTAAGAGATCAACAACCACTTTTGAGAAAATCTGTCAGATAAGGAATAGGAATGCTATTCTTAATAATCTTAAGTGAGACAATAGAGATAGAAGGATGTATGTACCTCCTTTCGAGCCAATGTATGGATTAAAAAGCTCAATGGTCTCCGCTATTGTCAAGAAGTATATCAATGATAATAGGAATAAATAAGTACCTTACCATGAAATACCGCAAGTTGATAGGTGAAGTCACAGCTAAAGAGATAAAGGAGTTAGAAAAAGAGAAGCCTGAAATAGGCTGCCCAAATCAAGATTTAAAATTTATTTTTGACCCAACACATGAGTTTAAAGAGAATAAATCCTATTTTGCAAACCCAATGTTTAGCACTCTGAAAAAAGGTAAAAAGAGTAGAAGGAGAATGAACAAAAGTTTACTAGTAAAGAAATCATCTTCCAACGAAATCTCCAATTACATTCCCAAGAGTAAGAGAACTACTGCTGTTACTTCAGTAGATGGCTTTGAAGATTCTCTCCTCACACGCTATATTATCAAGGCTAATAACAATAGTAGCTTTGGATTTCCAAGCTCAAGAGCTTCTTTTAAGCTTGCTGATATTTATCCTTCAAAGACTCCTCAAAAGAAGCAGGAGAAGTTGGAAATCAAGAACATCAAACTGAAAAATAAAATCGGAGGCCTCACCGACCAAAAGCATAAAGGTACGAAGAGAAGGGTTGCTTCCCATATGATTACAGAAATAAGATCTTTCAACTCTTCAGAAGAGGGGACCCCAGTGACAAGATATCTGAAGGATGAGAAGCTGAAGCTACTAAATGAACTTAAGCATTAAAGTACTTTGTTTTCGAGTTAATATTTATAATAAAATTTCCAAATTTATCATATCTGGGGATACAAAAGAGAAGGAGGATGATTCTTTTTCCTCCTCCACACATTGCATGAACCCTAGAGCATTGAAATTCTCAAGTCTCTGTGCACTGTTAGACCTTTTTCTTCCATTTTGGAAAGATAAATCTCTACTTTCTTGTTTGAAATTAAGCTTTCATTCTTCATAATTTCTGGAAGGATCTCTTAAATCGATAATATTTTGAGCTTCGAATAAGTTTCAGGGTTCTCAGTATTTTAAAGAGTCCTTTAGGATAGGAAATTCACTAATCTTGCTATCTTTTTCAGTATCATTCCTCATTGTATGAGCTTTCTGTTCCTCCTTTCACTCCTCATCAAAGCCGTGAAAGTCATTCCTTAGGTTATATCTATCCTCAATTCCTTCGAATCAACTTGTGTCAAGATGGTTTTTGTTAGAATTCTCAGTCATCTTTTGGGGGAAATCTATCATTGAGGTTTCATAAATTTTGGCTCTCTCACCCAGATCCTTTTCAACAGGTTCTGCGAGGTTAATGCCTGAATCTGATTCGATTCCAAGATGAAGAGCAGATTTTTCGGTTTCAAATTCGGATTTTATTACTATTATCTCTCCTCATATTTTTAAGCTCTTGTTTTTGAAATAAGGGTTGGGAGCAACCAAAGCTCCATCATTGAGTCCTTCAAACTTCTTAAACTTGATGGAATAGGTTAGAGTCACAAATAGAAATGTCATGCTGACTAGGTTTACAGCTTGCTGGGCGAGAACAAAGATCCATTCATGGTATATTGCAAAGAAAGGTCTCAGGCACATAATTGTCATTTCCATGAAGGAGTAGATTAACAAGTATACTATGAAGCACTTGTAATATTTAATCATGTTGTTATTAGAATTTATAATGTCCCTTTCTTCAACAAATATAGGATTCAGCTCAGAATTTATTCTTTTAAGCTTCCTTATTCAACTCTGTATATCACATCGGAGAAAAATCACCATGATTATTACTTCTGTTCCAAAGAAGATTAGGAGAATAAAGCTGGTGTATCTGAGGAATAAGGAGGTGATCCCAATACAGAGCATGACAGCGATGTTCTTGGCACATTTGTAGCAACTGAAGGAGTTTGAAATAATCTTGTAGCCACTTCCAACCAGGTGAATTATGATTAAATACATCACTATTGAGAACACTTCAATAAAATTCAAAAATCCTTCGAAATATATATTCACTTTTCCATTTTTGGAGAAGTTCCTCCAATAGATATATCTGAGAATGAGGTAGGAGGTGATGATGAAGTAAGAAAGCAAGATAAGCAGGCAGATATAACTCAGATCGTGCCTCTTATAGACTCGTAGACTCACTACTGCACTGCTAATGAGAAGTACTCATATCCAGGTGATGAAAAATACCAAGTATGTAAGCTTGTTAGGTATTAGATCCACAGAGAGATGCTCGCCTCCAGGGTTTACAACTGTGTAGTTGATTCCGATTTCATCAATCGATTGTTGGCAATGACTTATGAAAAAGACATAAAAGCCGCTGTCCTTGTCCTTTATGTCATATTTAAAATGCACCTCCCTGTCAAAATAAGGGACCTTCTTAAGGTTTTCTGAGTCTTGGTAGAATCTTTCATCTGTTCTAGACTCTCTTTTCTCTCTTAAATCATATATTATTCGTTTGTTTTGGTAGTCAAAATTAAGATAATAGTCCATTAGATTGTCATTAACATGGATTTGTTCTCACATGCTCTTCATTTTCTCTGTGACATTGTAACAATCATCAGTAGCTCTGTTCAGAGTGGTTCCTTGGTTAAAAATTTGAAGAACATCATGAAGCTGCATTCTTCCTTTATAAATATCTCTAACCTCTTCACTTTTTCAGAAGAAAAGATAAATAGGAGTGGTATCAGGAGAATATCTTATTTCCTCATTGATTGATCCACCTCCTTTAAACCCAAAGAAGAGGTAGGGTGTGATACCCTCTTGGATATTATTGGTTAACTTTTTCTCTCCGATTACTGCTCTTGAAATTTGGAAAACCATTATGAAAAGTATTCCAAAAATAGCTATAATTTTTAAAATTAAAAACAATAAGATTCTTAAAGTAAAAATTATTTGAGAAGAGTATTTATCATTCTGGATTGCTTAAATTGACCTTAAACTTTCTTGTCTAAAGTTTGGTAATGCTATCTATCACTATTTTAAGGAATTTACCCATTCAAGTATTAGAGTGAAGCTTTGGTACAAAATTTGGTTATAAGAAGAAAAATGAGGGTTATTGGGGTAGGAACTTTAGACAGTTAAGGCCTCAATCGAAAGATTTTTTATAGCAACTCTATGTTAAGAATATCTCCTAAATCAAAAGTTGGTGGTTTTGCCACTAATTTGAATAGGAGTTTACAAAATGCATAAGAAAGAATATTTTGCATATTTAGAGTCTTGGGAACTTTTGAAGGTACTAATACAAATCTACCTACCATTACCATTTTTAATAAAGAATATCAGATGATTTTTCCAGTCGATCAATTAAAATTCTCAATAACCCATAATTATCAATAAGAATTGTATACACCTGAATGGTAATGGTACGATTCAGAATCATCTCAAGATGTAATTTTGTTTTAAAGAGTTACAAGCAGAGAAAATTAAGTGCTCTATCATGCCTTTAGCATCTCCTCTCTTCTATAATCTGTTACGTACTTTTTGAAGCTCTCATATTTGGAAATTAATATTTTTGATAACCTATAATGATAATTTTCTTGGGGTTTTGGGGTTTTGGGGTTTTGGGGTTTTGGGGTTTTGGGGTTTTGGGGTTTTGGGG